CAATGTACGAGACAATGCACGTGTCAATGCACGAGACAATGCACGTGACATTGTACGAGACAATGCACGTGACATTGTACGAGACAATGCACGTGACAATGCACGTGACATTGTACGAGACAATGCACGTGACATTGTACGAGACAATGCACGTGACAATGCACGAGACAATGCACGTGACATTGTACGAGACAATGCACGTGACAATGCACGAGACAATTCACGTGACAATGGACGAGACAATGCACGTGACATTGTACGAGACAATGCACGTGACATTGTACGAGACAATGCACGTGACAATGAACGTGACAATGCACGAGACAATGAACGTGACAATGCACGTGACAATGCGCGTGACAATGCACGTGACAATGCACGTGACAATGCACGTGACAATGCACGTGATAATGCACGTGACAATGCACGTGACATTGTACGAGACAATGCACGTGACAATGAACGTGACAATGCACGAGACAATGAACGTGACAATGCACGTGACAATGCACGTGACAATGCACGTGACAATGCACGTGACAATGCACGTGACAATGCACGTGACAATGAACGTGACAATGCACGATACAATGAACGTGACAATGCACGTGACAATGCGCGTGACTGCACGTGACAATGCACGTGACATTGTACGAGACAATGCACGTGTCAATGCACGAAACAATATCACGTGGCAATGCACGAGACAATGCACGTGACATTGTACGAGACAATGCACGTGTCAATGCACGTGACAATGCACGTGACTGCACGTGACAATGCACGTGACATTGTACGAGACAATGCACGTGACAATGCACGAGACAATGCACGTGACAATGCACGTGACAATGCACGTGACATTGTACGAGACAATGCACGTGTCAATGCACGTGACAATGCACGAAACAATATCACGTGACAATGCACGTGACAATGCGCGTGACAATGCACGTGACAATGCACGTGACAATGCACGTGACAATGCACGAAACAATATCACGTGACATTGCACGTCGGCTTTAACATACTTCACCACGCCGGTAAAGTTCGTCGCACCTAACAGTCAGGGGGCCGTCCATAAATGACGTCACGCACCCAGGGAGGGAGGGGGGGTCAGACATTTGTGACGATGTGTGACGAGGGAGGGGAGGGGGTTTGAGAAATGTGACGTCACATCAAAATGCGCAACTTTAAATAAATATAAACAACACGTTCTACTTAATTTAATAGACTTTGTGATAAATGTTTTCTCCTACAACATCAGGGTGCAGCGCCACATTAAATAGGCACTACAATGACAATAGTTTAAAGCGATTTGTGAAGCATGTTTTATTTTTTGGGAGGGGGGGGGGGGGGACAGAGCTTTGTGACGTCATACTTGAGGGGGGGGGGGAGGTCAAAAATCGTCCAAAACTCGCGTGACGTCATTTATGGACGCCCCCCCCCCCCCCAGGACAAGCAATGTCAAATCTCGGAGGCGGAGTGGAAGCGAATCGAGTGGGGGGCACCGATCTCGTTTCACGGGGGGGGGAGGGGGGGTGGGGTGGGACCATCGACTCAGCTGGAACCTGGAGTCGAACCCAGGCTCTCGGAGCTCGGCGCCTCTGGGGGGGTGGCGAGGTGGGGGGGGGGGGCGAGGTGGGGGGGGGGGGCGAGGTGGGGGGAATCCCCAAGCTCAGTTTCCGTCTCCCACGTGGCAGATTGCTGTGGCGGCTGGGATCTTCACGAAGCCCCGGGCCGATCGCAATCAGCGGTTGTGCAGACCCGCCACGTCCACCAGCGGGCTGCTTTTGTCATTAACATTGTTGACGCTTCCTCCTCCACCCCTCCACCCACCCACCCCCGCCATGATCAGGCTCCATCTACTGCTGGACGAAGGCCTCCCAAGTCGTCTGTGAGGCACCGGGACGACTTGGGTGGCTCCGTCTCGGCAGAGGCGGCGACTGTCCCTGTTGAGGCTGCCGCCGTGACGGTGACCTTAGGTGGAGCGCGGAGTGCGGAGATGTTGACTACCTCGCCTGGTGTACAGGAGGTCGTGGGCTAGATCCTGACAATCGGGGAGATGTTAGCTACCTCGCCTGGTGTACAGGAGGTCGTGGGCTAGATCCTGACAATCGGGAGATGTTGACTACCTCGCCTGGTGTACAGGAGGTCGTGGGCTAGATCCTGACAATGGGGAGATGTTAGCTACCTCGCCTGGTGGACAGGAGTTCGTGGGCTAGATCCTGACAATCGGGAGATGTTAACTACCTCGCCTGGTCTACAGGAGGTCGTGGGTTCGATCCTGACAATGGGGAGATGTTAACTACCTCGCCTGGTATACAGGAGGTCGTGGGTTCGATCCTGACAATGGGGAGATGTTAACTACCTCGTCTGGTCTACAGGAGGTCGTGGAGTCGATCCCGACCCCGACCCCTGCTGTATATTTGGAGTCTGCGTGTCTCTCTCTCTCATCATCATCACGGTGGCTATGAGATGTTAACTATCTCGCCTGGTGTACAGGAGGTCGTGGGTTCGATCCCAACCCCGACGCCTGCTGCTGCTGTATATATTTATTGTTGTTTTCAGTGTCTCTCTCTCTCTCATCATCATCACGGTGGCTGTGAGATGTTAACTACCTCGCCTGGTCTACAGGAGGTCGTGGGTTCGATCCCAACCCCGACGCCTGCTGCTGCTGCTGTATATATTTATTGGTGTTTTCAGTGTCTCTCTCTCTCTCATCATCATCACGGTGGCTGTGAGATGTTAACTACCTCGTCTGGTATACAGGAGGTCGTGGGTTCGATCCCAACCCCGACGCCTGCTGCTGCTGCTGTATATATTTATTGGTGTTTTCAGTGTCTCTCTCTCTCATCATCATCACGGTGGCTGTGAGATGTTAACTACCTCGCCTGGTCTACAGGAGGTCGCTGCTGTATATATTTATTGGTGTTTTCAGTGTGTCTCTCTCTCTCATCATCATCACGGTGGCTGTGAGATGTTAACTACCTCGCCTGGTCTACAGGAGGCCGCTGCTGTATATATTTATTGTTGTTTTCAGTGTCTCTCTCTCTCTCTCATCATCATCACGGTGGCTGTGAGATGTTAACTACCTCGCCTGGTATACAGGAGGCCGCTGCTGTATATATTTATTGTTGTTTTCAGTGTCTCTCTCTCTCTCATCATCATCACGGTGGCTGTGACATGTTAACTACCTCGCCTGGCCTACAGGAGGTCGCTGCTGTATATATTTATTGTTGTTTTCAGTGTCTCTCTCTCTCTCATCATCATCACGGTGGCTGTGACATGTTAACTACCTCGCCTGGCCTACAGGAGGCCGCTGCTGTATATATTTATTGTTGTTTTCAGTGTCTCTCTCTCTCTCATCATCATCACGGTGGCTGTGACATGTTAACTACCTCGCATGGCCTACAGGAGGTCGCTGCTGTATATATTTATTGGTGTTTTCAGTGTCTCTCGCCCCGTTTAATCCCCCCCCCCCCCTCCAGCGTTATCGGATTTTTCTTTTTACATTTTCACGGAGGTTTGTGTGGAAGGGGAGAGAGAGGGGGAGAGACCGAGCGTCCCCTGCGCCAAATGCGGCACAAGGTGTGGTAGAAGCCTGATGGCCCGGAGTGTGAGCCATGTTGGGATGTACGTTCTATGGGCCCGTGTGTCGCAGGTTGCGTCCAGGGATGGGCAGGGCCCGTGGCTGTGTTTTTTTTTTTAGTTTCTGCTTTGAATATTTTTTTCTTTTTGGTAAACAGAAAAAAAAGAGACACAGGATCTGGGGCGTTTTTTTTTTTTCCCTGCGGTTTTTGTTTTGTTTTAATTCGCCAACCTTTAACTTAACGCGTGACTCGCCATTGAATAATTAACATTTTAACTTTGTATAAAATATCACCGACGACGACGACGACGATCACAACAATAGCTGCCGTAGGGTTTGTCCACGACGCGTCATGGACAAACGGTATATCTACAAACCGTGCGCGTTCACAAGTCTCTCCTGATAAAAAAATAATAATAATAATTTTCTACAATGTGCAGTGTGTATCGGGAGAATACAAATAAATGACTCTTAAATAACGGAACACCATTGGACGTCCCACCTCAACCGTAATCCAATTGTCCGAGCGCCCGCTTAAGTTCCACGGCATTGACGCCCGGCTTAGGACAAAGTAAAAATTCACATTCGAGAGAACGCGCCTCCTGCTCCTAATGCCACTGTGGTGGTGGTGGTGGTGGCGGTGGTTGGAACGGTCATCAGCACGCCGGAAGGTCACCGGTTCGACTCCGTCTCCCGGTGCGGCAGTGGAAGCATGGGAGGGGGTGGACGGTGAGGGGTGAGTTTCTTAAATCCACCTCCTCCCCACTCCGCACGCTGCCTCGCCGGATTAGTATCAGAGTGCGCTAACCATCGCGCCACCACTCCCACCCGATGGAGGTGCGGCAGCGCCAATAAATATTTCGTATTTACAAAAAATTAAACATCCACGCACGGTCTCATGGAGAAGCGCGTAGCAAGTGCGTAGCAAGCGGTTCATCAAGTCTTAACCCCGGCAGAGCTGTGCGGTAAAAAACTGCGGTGAAGTCCAAGGACGAGGCCGGCACCAGACGCCGGTACTGAACCAATTCCTCGGCACCACCTGAAAACAGATGTCACATCCCGGACCGTACCCTATCCCCCATCCCCCGGGTAAAACCGGAACGGGTGGCGGCTGGACAAGTCTCAACTTCTCGTTTTCACTTTTGCTCGATGAGTTCCCATTAAAAAAAAAAAACAGTAAAAAAAAGTAAGAACATTTCATGTTGCGCATTCTTATGGGCACAGTCCATCACGAATGCGCATTGATCACACGATGAAGTAGGCTCTCTGAAACAACAGCCGCAGCAGCAGCAGCAGCAGCCGCAGCAGCAGCAGCAGCATCAGCAGCCTCAGCAGCAGCAGCAGCAGCAGCTGCAGCAACAGCAGCAGCAGCAGCAGCAGCCTCAGCAGCCGCAGCAGCAGCCGCAGCAGCAGCAGCAGCCTCAGCAGCCGCAGCAGCAGCCTCAGCAGCCGCAACAGCAGCAGCAGCACCTCGTGACCAGACACGACGGCCTCCGTCTGGGCACCTTCCTGAATAATTATAATAATAATAATAAACCCATCGGCATTCCGCTCCCCCGCTCCGACCTTCACCGCCATCACCCCCCGTCCACCACGTCCCACAACCACCACCGATGTGGGACGTGGGAATTCCCACCACGAGGCACGGCGGAGCCAAGCCCCTGGCTGGCTGCTGAGTCACACAAGTCCCGCCGGCCCCCCCCCCCCCCCCCCACTCCACCACACCGCCGTGGGTGTCCGGTCCGGTCCGGGGGGCGGGCGTCGACTGGGAACCGTCGGCCAAAACCCCTCAGAGCATGAAGAGCCCAAAGTATGTCTTGTCGGCCCCGTCGCTCACCAGGCTGAGGTCGGACACGGACACGTACAGCTGGTCGCCCGCCTCCAGCTTGAACACGCCGCCCTGGTAGCTGGAGCCGAACCACGGCCGCCCCGGCGATTGGCGGTGCGGGTGGTGTGGGGGCCGACGCGTCGCGGGGTGCTGCCCGCCGACGCCGACGCCGACGCCGACGCCGACGCCGCCGCCGCCGCCTCCGCCGCAGCGTGACTTGACGGCCTCCATGAGCGTGAACGGCACGTCGTAGCTGAGCGCCTTGCGGTTCACCGTGTGCACCAGCACGTGGTCCCCGCCGGAGCCCTCGCCGCAGTCGCCGCTCTGGAAGTAGACCTGGCGGGGGCGGGGGCGGGGGGCAGGGGGTGAGCGGCGAGGCAGAGAGGCGTGGCGGTGCGGGCCCGGCGCTCGCCGCGGTGGATTTGCGGGGCGTCGATTTCTGTTTGCCGGTCGGGCCGGTTATGGTGAAGGAGCCGTAACCCCGATGGCGCCGCGGCTCGCGTCACAAAGCGCCCCCCACCCCGCCCCCCCCAGCCCCCCCCCCCCCCCCCCCCCACCACCACCCCCCCCACCACCCCGGCCCAGGGCCCCTGCCTGCGCTCACCTGCGAGTAAATGAAGTAGTGTCCCTCCTTGTTGATGCGCACGTTGCCGTTGTACAGGATGAGGCCGTTCCGCAGGAAGGAGACCCCGGACAAGGCGACGGACTCCCAGCTCACGTCGCCGGCCCCCGCGGGCGAGGGCGCCCCCGAAGAGGCGCGCACTGCGTGGGGACGGTGAGGAGGAGCGGCGCGGGGTCAGCGCACAGCGGCGATGATGCTGCTGCTGCTGCTGCGAGCGTGGCGCGTCGCCCGCCCGCTCGCTCAGAACACGCACCCGACCAATCAGCCGCTCGCGCACACGTTCACCCGCTCACTCACACACACGTTCACCCGCTCACTCACTCACACGTTCACCCGCTCACTCACTCACACGTTCACCCACTCACTCACACACACGTTCACCCGCTCACTCACTCACACGTTCACCCGCTCACTCACTCAGACGTTCACCCGCTCACTCACTCACTCACACGTTCACCCGCTCACTCACTCACACGTTCACCCGCTCACTCACTCACACGTTCACCCGCTCACTCACTCACACGTTCACCCGCTCACTCACTCACACGTTCACCCGCTCACTCACTCACTCGTTCACCCACTCACTCGCTCACCCACTCACGTACACGTTCACCCGCTCACTCACACACACGTTCACCCGCTCACTCACTCACACGTTCACCCGCTCACTCGCTCACACACACATTGACCCGCTCACTCGCTCACCCACTCACGTACACGTTCACCCGCTCACTCACTCACACACACATTCACCCGCTCACTCGCTCACCCACTCACGTACACGTTCACCCGCTCACTCACTCACACACACGTTCACCCGCTCACTCACTCGCACATACGTTCACCCACTCACTCACCCACTCACTTACACGTTCACCCACTCACTCACACACACGTTCACCCGCTCACTCACTCACCCACTCACACACACGTTCACCCGCTCACTTACACACACACACGTTCACCCGCTCACTCACTCACCCACTCACACACACGTTCACCCGCTCACTCACTCACCCACTCACACACACGCACGTTCACCCGCTCACTCGCTCACCCACTCACACACACGTTCACCCACTCACTCACACACACGTTCACCCACTCACCCGCTCGCACGGTCACATACACGTTCACTCGCGCACTCACTCACTCCCATACACGTTCACTCGCTCCCTCACTCACCCACTCACACACACACGTTCACCCACTCACTCACTCACTCACACACCCGCTCACTCACCCACACACACACACGCTCACCCACCCACCCACTCACCCGCTCACCCACTCACGTGAATGTGGGCGTGCCGTGGTGGTGTGGCCAGTACCTGTGAGGTGTGCCGAAGGCTTGTCCAACTGCGAGTCGTTCTCAGTCATCCGTCTTTCGTACGGTCCCACCTGGAAACCTGGAGCGGAGAATCGGGCGCACGCTTAATACCGGACACGACGCGGAGTTTTGCGTTGTGTATCCCCAGTGGCATCTACATCTACAGAATGTGAAGAACCAGTGGCATCTACATCTACAGAACGTGAAGAACCAGTGGCATCTAGATCTGCAGAACGTGAAGAACCAGTGGCATCTAGATCTGTAGAACGTGAAGAACCAGTGGCATCTACATCTACACAACGTGAAGAACCATTGGCATCTACATCTACAGAACGTGAAGAACCAGTGGCATCTACATCTACAGAACGTGAAGAACCAGTGGCATCTACATCTACAGAACGTGAAGAACCAGTGCATCTACATCTGTAGAACGTGAAGAACCATTGGCATCTACATCTACAGAACGTGAAGAACCAGTGGCATCTACATCTGCAGAACGTGAAGAACCAGTGGCATCTAGATCTGCAGAACGTGAAGAACCAGTGGCATCTAGATCTGTAGAACGTGAAGAACCAGTGGCATCTACATCTACACAACGTGAAGAACCATTGGCATCTACATCTACAGAACGTGAAGAACCAGTGGCATCTACATCTACAGAACGTGAAGAACCAGTGGCATCTACATCTGCAGAACGTGAAGAACCAGTGGCATCTAGATGTGCAGAACGTGAAGAACCATTGGCATCTACATCTACATAACGTGAAGAACCAGTGGCATCTACATCTGTAGAACGTGAAGAACCATTGGCATCTACATCTACAGAACGTGAAGAACCAGTGGCATCTACATCTGCAGAACGTGAAGAACCAGTGGCATCTAGATCTGCAGAACGTGAAGAACCAGTGGCATCTAAATCTGTAGAACGTGAAGAACCAGTGGCATCTACATCTGCAGAACGAAAAGATCCAGTGGAATCTACATCTATAGAACGTGAAGAACCAGTGACATCTACATCTACAGAACATGAAGAACCAGTGGCATCTACATCTGCAGAACGTGAAGAACCAGTGACATCTACATCTGTAGAACGTGAAGAACCAGTGGCATCTGCATCTACAGAACGTGAAGAACCAGTGGAATCTACATCTACAGAACGTGATGAACCAGTGGCATCTGCATCTACAGAACGTGAAGAACCAGTGGCATCTACATCTGTAGAACGTGAAGAACCAGTGGAATCTACATCTACAGAACGTGAAGAACCAGTGGAATCTACGTGTACAGGAGATTTTAGAACTTTTAAAGCCATTCCCCGTGTTTAGTGTACATGCCGTACACCACGTTTTGAATCGACAGAGGTAAAGTTGGACTTCGGAACAAATCGACTTACGAACCTAACTCGTAAGTAGAGGCGTCCGTGTATATAATTATTTGTTTAACGTGAAGGACAAACACGTGAAGGTGGTGGTGGGGGTGTAGGAAGTGGTGGGGGGCACCAATTTAAAGGGGGGGGGGTAGTGTCGGAAATGAGGGCAGTGAGGGTCTCGGTGAGGGTTTCGGTGAGGGTTTCGGTGAAGGTTTGGGTGAGGGTTTCATTGAGGGTTTCGGTGAGGCTTTCGGTGAGGATTTTGGTGAGGGATTCGGTGAGGGTTTTGGCGAGGATTTCGGTGAGGGTTTCGGTGAGGGTTTCGGTGAGGATTTTGGTGAGGGTTTCGGTGAAGAATTTCGGTGAGGGTTTCGGTGAGGATTTCGGTGAAGGTTTGGGTGAGGGTTTCATTGAGGGTTTCGGTGAGGATTTCGGTGAGGGTTTCGGTGAAGGTTTGAGTGAGGATTTCGGTGAGGGTTTCGGTGAGGGTTTCGGTGAGGGTTTCGGTTAGGATTTCGGTGAGGGTTTCGGCGAGGGTTTCGGTGAGGATTTTGGTGAGGGTTTCGGTGAGGGTTTTGGTGAGGATTTCGGTGAGGGTTTCGGCGAGGATTTCGGTGAGGGTTTCGGTGAGGGTTTCGGTGAGGATTTTGGTGAGGGTTTCGGTGAGGGTTTTGGTGAGGATTTCGGTGAGGGTTTCGGCGAGGATTTCGGTGAGGGTTTCGGTGAGGGTTTCGGTGAGGGTTTCGGTGAGGATTTCGGTGAGGATTTCGGTGAGGGTTTCGGTGAGGGTTTCGGTGAGGATTTCGGTGAGGGTTTCGGCGAGGATTTCGGTGAGGGTTTCGGTGAGGGTTTCGGTGAGGGTTTCGGTGAGGATTTCGGTGAGGATTTCGGTGAGGGTTTCGGTGAGGGTTTCGGTGAGGATTTCGGTGAGGATTTCGGTGAGGATTTCGGTGAGGGTTTTGGTGAGGATTTCGGTGAGGGTTTCGGTGAAGGGTTTCGGCGAGGAGCTCACCTTGCAGCTCGGTGATCATCGCGCCGCGGATGACCTCCGGCAGCATCTGCAGCAGAGAGGGGCGAGCGGCAAGGTCAGCAATGCGGCCACTTCCACTCACGCATCGCCGTCATCGCCGTCATCCACACACCGCCCATCACGGCGATCATCATTCATCATCATCGCCACCATCATCATCATCATCCATCATCACGACCATAACCATCAACTGCACAGACAACAACAATAACGGCAACACTCCAACAACAACAACACGTACAGACAGAACAGTGTAATGGGCGACGTTTCGGGGCAATGGTCCTCCTCTATGGCACAAGTGGACACGCGTGCATTGGGGGTCGTCGCGCGAAACGTCGCCCGTTATGCATTTATTCGTTTCCTCTCCGGGCCACAGACACACACGCGTGTGTAGTGTCGATTGTTAAGTGATGACGTCATGTCGGCTGTCCGCACTCCACGGGGGCATTTGTGAATGAGTCTTAGGCGGGCCATGTGACCCATCCGAGTGTTTTATGAATGGAACTCTGCAGGCGATTTCTAAATGGCCCACTTCGCGCGACTCCTCCGGCTCTCAATTAATTGATCAATTCCCCCACCCCCCACACCCCTACCGATATATTTATTTGATAAGTAACCCACCCGGTAAATGTGCGAATGGATGACCCGATACATATTTTGTAGCGCCCCGAAATCATTTGGTGTGGCCCTGCCAAGGCAACCGCAGGCGGGACTCGAAATTCAATAAATCTAGGGAGCAAACCTTGAAAAGCAGTTGCGAGTAGCTGCAACATCGTCAATAGCGGCTAACATCATCACCACAAGCCTCACCAAAGAGAAGCAGTTCCAGCCCCATCGCATTAGGGGGGCGAGTTAATGAAACGTTTGACCAAATATAAACGGGCTAATTTTTAAGTTGATAGTTTTGTATGGCCCGCGAATGATGTTACATGAATATCCAAATGGCCCTTGCCAGAAAAAAAAGGTTCCCCACCCCTGGTTTTGAATTATTGTTGCATTGGAGGATCTGCGTGGTGACGTCATCACGTCTCTACCCAGCCACCGGCCATGTGCCCCTCGCGGACGCCAAGGGCAGCGCTGGCTCCAGCAGCAATCTCGCTCGGCTCGAGGACCGCGTTCAACTCTTGACCCGAGAGGGGACAAAACTCAACTCGGGAGAGGAGGCCGAGAGAAGGGAAGTGAAGCAGAGAGGGAGACAGACGGCATTGCAGCGACACGGAGACTCGCACAGAGACTCGCACAGAGACTCTCACAGAGACTCACACAGAGACTCTCACAGAGACGCTCGCAGAGACTCGCGCAGAGACTCACACAGAGACTCGAACAGAGACTCACACAGAGACTCGCGCAGAGACTCACACAGAGACTCGAACAGAGACTCACACACAGAGACTCGCGCAGAGACTCACACACAGAGACTCGCACAGAGACTCGCACAGAGACTCTAACAGAGACTCGCACAGAGACTCACACAGAGACTCGAACAGAGACTCACACACAGAGACTCGCGCAGAGACTCACACACAGAGACTCGCACAGAGACTCACACAGAGACTCGAACAGAGACTCACACACAGAGACTCGCACAGAGACTCGCGCAGAGACTCGCACAGAGACTCGGAGACTCGCACAGAGACTCGCACAGAGACTCGCACAGAGACTCGCACAGAGACTCGAACAGAGACTCGCACAGAGACTCGGAGACACAGAGAATCAGAGACTCAAACAGTGACTCGCATAGAGACCCATAGCCTCACAGAGACACCCACCGACTCACAGACCCACACAGAGATTTCGTCTCAAATAAGAGACCCACGGACTCATACAGGCAGGCTCACAGGTACCCACAGACTCACGAAGAACCCGGACTTGCACAGAGACCCACGGACACCCGAGTAGACTATTGTGGGTAGGAGGCATTATCGCGATTCTAGAAGCAGTGGCACCCGATAGGGCTGCTCGTTGCCGACTCCTCGGTCGTGGCTACAAACCCGGCGACCCGGGTTCGCCAACACCACCCCGTGACGATTATCTGAACCGGTCCTGCTGGATCCCTCGGCGAGGTCGACTCAAAGGAGTTGCCTGGCGCGGTGTACGCAGTGAACATCGCCACTCGGGAGACAAAGGCGGTCGGGCGTGGGTGCCGGCCACCCACCCGCTCGTGTGCAACAGTGCCGGTAGCCTTCAGAGGTGCTGCTGCTGCTGCTCGCTAACAGCACTTGCCCCGACAGACAGTCTGTTTAAAAGTCTATACGGGGTGGTGGTGTGGTGTGTGTGGGGGGGGGGTCTGTCTTTTTTTTAGTGCTGCTTGTTGCCGGCCGCTCGGCGCCCCGAGGCTCCCACTTATTTCGTTTCGGTCACGGCCACCCACCTGCTTGAGATTGGTGAGGTCCTGGCGGGCCTGGTAGAGCGCGAACACGATGGCAGCCGTGGTCCCCATCACCAGCAGCACGGCTAGGGTCGTGATGAGACCCCTGCAGAGAGCGTTACTCTTGCCCGAGGTGCCCTTGCCACGGGATTCTGGGCATCCCAGGTCGCCGGCGGGGACATCAACCGTGAAGCCCCTCTCGCTCAGGAAGCTGTCGCGACTCGACATCGTTTCTTCCTCCTCCTCCTCCTCCGAGTGTCCCCTCTGTAGCCACGTGGTTGTTGTTCGCCGTGCGGGTTCACGGTCCCAGCGGCCGGCCGGGGGCTCGATGCAGCAACGCCACAGGCGGAGCGAAAGTCACCGGGACAGACGCGAAGCGCTCTAAAGGGGCCGGCTCGGTTGTTCTGCTGTGCTGTGCTGCTGTTGTTGTGTTGCTGTTGCTGTGCTGCTGTTGTTGTTGTTCGCACAGCAGCACTGGGTTCTGGGTCCGGAATGAGCCCGTGCGAATTATCGTTTCAAAAAGACTCGCAGACGCTTCGGCCGATTCGCTACGGGAGGGGGAAATAAACCTCACGACAACAAACAGCATGGGGGCACTCCGAGTGAGCAAGGGTACGCTCTTCTAAACCCGAGAGCGATCTCCGTGTGTGTGTCTCTCTAACTCTCTAACTCCCTCGGTTTTCGCCGAACTCTTTGACTCGGCTTGAGCAACAACGCGAATGCTCCTTTATAAGACGCCCAGCCCACTCAAGTGCGGACAGCCCCACCACGAGCTCACGTAAATTGCCCTCTGCCCGTCCGGAATTTCCATTCAGGAAGCGAAACCAGCCCTGCGGGTTACAGCGAAGCTGGTCAGGGAGGTTAGGAAATCCCCCTCCTACCACCACCCCAGCACCCCTCCTACCACCACCCCACCTCTCGTGGGTTATGAGAGACGGGAGAGGAGGCAGTGGGAGGCATACACAAGAGGCGGTGGGTTCCAATGTAAAGGCGTAGGTTTGAGTTCGGCAGAATTGTCGACCGCAGATTTTTGTGGCGAGTGAGCCAATGTGTTTCCGCTGCTGCCCGCCCACACTCGCCCCGCCTGCTTATGAAGCGGCGTTTCGCTCGGATGTCTTCCGACTGCGCGCAGGAACAGGTTATGGAAATTCGAGAGACGCAGACGCGGGTGTAAGGCGGCCGGGGTGTTGTGTTGGAAAGTTCAACGGGACATTGAGTAAGTAAAGACTAAAGTTCCCCCCCTGGCCCAGAATAGCCTTGCATGGGCTGTTGGGGCAAGTGCTGTTAGCGAGTAGCGGCGTCTGTGAAGGCCGGAACTGCACACGAGGGGGTGGGTGGCCGGCACCACGCCCCGACCGCCTTTGTATCCCCAGTGGCGATGTTTACTACACACCGCAGCACGTACTCATTTGAGGCTGAGTCGACCTAGGGGAGACCCAAGACCGCGTCAAATATTCATCACTGGTGTTGACCTTGAACGAGAATGGGACCGTAGTGGCACAGCACATGAGGAAGAGGAGGGGGGGGGCGGAGGGGGAGCACACACAGCCGCCTTTGTCTCCCCATCGGTGATATTTTATACACGCCTCACCGGGTGCTCGTTTCTTACATCTGAGTCCACCTAGGGGATTCACAGCACCGGCTCAGATATTGGCCAACTACTGTTGGCCGTGAGCGGTAATCGACTGGACATCTGCCAATAAAGAGCTTTATAGCGCATCTGATTCTTCCGGTATAAATAAATATGATTTAAAAAAAATACTCTGAAACTCTGCAAGGCCTCCCTACACTATTACTGGTAGTGGTGGTGGTGGGGGGAGTTATCTGACCATACTTCACCACTCCGGTCAATGCGGGTAGATGAAGGCGCTTGGGAAGCATAGGCTGGGAGCATATACGTGCAGTACAACGATGTGTTTGTCGTTGGACTTACCGCCGCTAGCGTCAATCACGCGGCATGAGTGGCGTGCGATAGCAGGCGCACAGCAGTTGTGCAACAACGAAAAACCCCATTGGGCATTGACTCTTAGCGTGCGTGAAGGGGCTCGTGTCTCATGCCATCATCTTCTTTATAAATAGAGACCTGAATCTGTCTCACAAACCTCACTTCCTGGCAGGGTATACATCTGAAATGTGGTACACGGGCAGCTTTGAGGACACAAACAACAGAAAAATGTGAAACTCCGAGATTTATTTTGTTATGTTTTTAAGGCCCCCAAATCTCCATGTTTAAGCGCCCTATAAACATGTTTGTGCCTGGTGCCATTCAGACCCCGTTCTAAATACACGATTGCGGTTTTTGTAGTTCGATAGAGCGTCAGATGGCAAAATGCAACTTAAGCGAGAACCATTGTTCTATCTTTTATTGTTCTTAGATGCAACTAAAGCGAGAGCCATTGTTCTATTTTTTATTGTTCTTGAGATGCAACTAAAGCGAGAGCCATTGTTCTATCTTTTATTGTTCTTGAGATGCAACTAAAGCGAGACCCATTGTTCTATCTTTTATTGTTCTTGAGATGCAACTAAAGCGAGAACCATTGTTCTATCTTTTATTGTTCTTGAGATGCAACTAAAGCGAGAACCATTGTTCTATCTTTTATTGTTCTTGAGATGCAACTAAAGCGAGAACAATTGTTCTATCTTTTATTGTTCTTGAGATGCAACTAAAGCGACAACTATTGTTCTATCTTTTATTGTTCTTGAGATGCAACTAAAGCGACAACTATTGTTCTATCTTTTATTGTTCTTGAGATGCAACTAAAGCGAGAACCATTGTTCTATCTTTTATTGTTCTTGAGATGCAACTAAAGCGAGAACCATTGTTCTATCTTTTATTGTTCTTGAGATGCAACTAAAGCGAGAACCATTGTTCTATCTTTTATTGTTCTTGAGATGCAACTAAAGCGAGACAATTGTTCTATCTTTTATTGTTCTTGAGATGCAGCTAAAGCGAGAACCATTGTTCTATCTTTTATTGTTCTTGAGCTATTTCGGGTTCGAGCGGAATTGAACGAACAAAAAAGGACGCACTTTGTGATGTTTAAATCTGAACAATTCGACAACGGTGAAAGATAGGAGAGCTTCCCCCTTGTAGACTATTACGTGAATTAATGTTCGTTTCTTTCTCATGCAAAAGACCAGAATCTTGAAGTCGAGCGGTTTCTTGATGGGTGCCCGTCTTTTAATATAAGAAGTGGAATTAAGTCGTCAACAATTTTTGTGCTTTTTATTCCGAAAAATAATAACTTTAGGAATAGTGGCTAGTGGCCTGATCGTGGATGTAAATTGTAAAAAAATAAAAAAAAATCGTTTCGAGTTAATTATTGTATTTATTGAAAACATTTGCCTGGCGAAGCAGACGGGCCTTTGTGAACCAGTCTGATTATAAATTCCTTCAAATGTGACAACGTCGACTGACCAGCAGGAGCGATGCAGCGACAGAAAAAAAACAACAGTGGACCACTTTCACCACATTTGGGACTCATCAGCATCGGAGTCACCGATACATCGAAGCGATTTTTGCGTTTCGTTTGTGGGTCCTTAAACCCCGCCTGCCCACACACCTCCGATATGCGCGGTTGGCTACGTACGGTGAAAAAGAAGTTCAACATACGTACACACATAAATCCCATAGACTAACACGACCCACAGACTCAACACTGCCCGGAGACTAACACTACGCATAGATTCAACACTTGAGTCTATGGGCAGTGTTGATTCTATGGCCATTGTTGATTCTATGGACAGTGTTGATTCTATGGGCAGTGTTGAGTCTATGGGTAGTGTTGAGTCTATGAGCAGTGTTGAATCTATGGGCAATGTTGAGTCAATGGGCAGTGTTGAGTCTATGGGCAGTGTTGAGTCTATGGGCAGTGTTGAGTCTATGGGCAGTGTTGAGTCTATGGGCAATGTTGAGTCTATGGGCAGTGTTGAGTCTATGGGTAGTGTTGAGTCTATGGGCAGTGTTGAGTCTAGGGGCAGTGTTGAGTCTATCGGCAGTGTTGATTCTATGATGCAGTGTTGAGTCTATGGTGCAGTGTTGACTCTATGGTGCAGTGTTGAGTCTATGGTGCAGTGTTGAGTCTCTGGGTAGTGTTGAGTCTATGGGCAGTGTTGACTCTATGGGCAATGTTGAGTCTATGGGCAGTGTTGAGTCTATGGGCAGTGTTGAGTCTATGGGCAGTGTTGAGTCTATCGGCAGTGTTGATTCTATGATGCAGTGTTGAGTCTATGGTGCAGTGTTGAGTCTATGGTGCAGTGTTGAGTCTATGGTGCAGTGTTGAGTCTCTGGGTAGTGTTGAGTCTATGGGCAGTGTTGACTCTATGGGCAATGTTGAGTCTATGGGCAGTGTTGAGTCTATGGGCAGTGTTGAGTCTATGGGCAGTGTTGAGTCTATGGATAGTGTTGAGTCTATGGGCTGTGTTGAGTCTATGGGCAGTGTTGAGTCTACGGGCAGTGTTGAGTCTATGGTGCAGTGTTGAGTCTATGGTGCAGTGTTGATTCTATGGGCAGTGTTGAGTCTATGGGCAGTGTTGAGTCTATGGGTAGTGTTGAGTCTATGAGCAGTGTTGAATCTATGGGCAGTGCTGAGTCAATGGACAGTGTTGAGTCTATGGGCAGTGTTGAGTCTATGGGCAGTGTTGAGTCTATGGTGCAGTGTTGAGTCTATGGGCAGTGTTGAGTCTATGGGCAGTGTTGAGTTTATGGGCAGTGTTGAGTCTATGGTGCAGTGTTGAGTCTGTGGGCAGTGTTGAGTCTATGGGCAGTGTTGAGTCTGTGGGTAGTGTTGAGTCTATGCGTAGTGTTAGTCTACGGGCAGTATGTACACATGTTGAACTTCTTTCGCACCGTACCTAATAGCTAATCATGCTCACGGTGCCCTTATCCACGTCATGCCATCAACGATCAATAAGAGGCTGAGCGTGAGTAATCGAACGAGTCATTCTTTGATGCTATTCTGGACAAGTTCCTTATTACCCAAAAAAAGAATCAATCTCTTCACGGCGCTCGGGGCTTTTTTGGCGGGAGTGAGTTTCCAAAAATATCTAAAACGACCAGTTTCACTTGCGTTCTTTAATTATCGCTGTGTTACTGTGAACTCACGTGTGTGGGTTTAAAAAAATATATATACTACTAGTAGATATTACTGACTCTATAGTAGATACTACTGACTCTATAGTAGATACTACTGACTCTATAGTAGATACTACTGACTCTATAGTAGACACTACTGACTCTGTAGTAGATACTACTGTCTCTGTAGTAGACACTACTGACTCTATAGTAGATACTACTGACTCTGTAGTAGATACTACTGACTCTATAGTAGACACTACTGACTCTATAGTAGATACTTCTGACTCTATAGTAGATACTACTGACTCTATAGTAGATACTACTGACTCTATAGCAGACACTACTGACTCTATGGTAGATACTACTGACTCTATAGTAGACACTACTTACTCTATAGTAGATACTACTGACTCTATAGTAGACACTACTGACTCTATAGTAGATACTACTGACTCTGTAGTAGATACTACTGACTCTATAGTAGATACTACTGACTTTATAGTAGATACAACTGACTCTATAGTAGACACTAGTGACTCTATAGTAGATACTACTGACTCTATAGTAGATACTACTGACTCTATAGTAGATACTACTGACTCTATAGTAGACACTACTTACTCTATAGTAGACACTACTGACTCTATAGTAGACACTACTGACTCTATAGTAGATACTACTGACTCTATAGTAGATACTACTGACTCTATAGTAGATACTACTGACTCTACAGTATATACTACTGACTATATGGTAGATACTACTGACTCTATAGTACTACTGACACTATAGTAGTACTACTGACTCTATAGTAGTA